CCGCCTCCTAGACGTCCTTAGCAGTGGGAAGAAACAGATGAGGCTTTCCAATGGCGGGTTCCATTGAATTGATGAGCCAGCCAATAATTAGAGAATTTTTAGACTACCATCTTTTTACATTCGGATCTTCGGCAGCAGGTTTCGTTGTTTCGCCGGTAAGATGCCCGATTTTGCCCCTGCTATCGATTGCTAATTTGACGGACTGAGCTCACTCAAGATAATTGTGTTCGTTGAGTTTTGTAGTGATGAGAAAAGAGGCTGAAATTTGGGGATAATTAGCTGCAGATGCGAATGAGGGAGGAGCAGTGGAATTGGGAGGAACGGTGGGGTTGGGCTGAGCGGTTTCAGGCGCACCGAAAGCGACGGTTGGGTTTCTTTGGGCGCCGGTCATGGCCGACTTATATGACATCATCTGGGAGGACTTAAAAGGGGAGCACAAGGCTCTGATACCATCTAGTTTGGAAGAAGAAGAATTTTGCTTCTTATTTTATTCAAGAATGACGATTACAATTTAAATAGAAGGAAAAAGGCCATCGATTTAGGAAGGCCATAAAATCAGAAAATAAAATGGCATATCTCTAGGCTACAGATCAGAAAACATATAGGATTTCCTAGTTTTACTCCCTAGAAATCGGACAATATAAATTAGAATAACCTTCATTTACTCATAAACTAAGGTATCTTTCGATTTTGAACCTTACATCAAATGTAAAAGAAAAACCATACATTTTCAAATTGTGCACCAACACCGCATATACCTATCTTCTAGTCCCTCCTACTGGCGATACCACCTGTTTAATACAAGCATCGGCTATGTCGCCAGAGATCACTGCCATTATGAAAATCCTAGACAATGGACATTGCCCATTTCCTTTACTTAATTTAGAGACAAGAAAGAGTTTCGGCTGGTGTACTACCGCCATGCTTGCTCAAAATATATGACTGTTGATACCCATATATATTAGAAAAGAAGAAGTAACTTATTGTTTGGATAAAGTGTTCCCCTTTAATTTTTGGCAGCTTATCAATTTGCCAAATCTCCAATGGTAACAAACTCCTGCAAATCCAGCAACCACCACGTATGATGTCCTCTTGGTGTTTATTTATTTATTTTTTTCTGTTTAAAACCATAATCAGATCACGCTCTTCTTCTACATGCAAGGTCCTCTTCTTCTATCAATAATTTGATCACTATTTGTAGTCCAGACTAACTCCTTATCTTTAATTTCTTGATCATCATAAACAACAATCCTTCAAAATTTAATCTTCCTATCATCAAAACTTCCACTTCAAAATTGGATAGTAGCAAGGAAATTTCTGTTTCTCTTAGCAACAAATATTGCTTTTAGATTGTTAGCAATATTTTGAGAGACTAGGAGACCAAATTCAAGAGAGGAAAAAAAAAAAACCAGAAAAGGAGGCATGAAATGCATATTCCTAAAAGTTGTATTTATACCCTCTTGGCAAGCTATTTCTTTCAAGTTCACTTCGATGAATAGCTTTCACGGATATGACTAGCTTTGGTGAATTTTCACAAAGAAAAATTGAAAACACGTGAAAGGAACTTGAACACTTTAATTTTTTGAAGTTCGATATTTTTTTGGGAATAAGATACATTTTTATGTCTCTTAGAACCCAAAAATGATTTCAATCACGTATATATTGCCCCCCTTTTTTGTAGGTAGAAATCATACATTTTGATTGATGAAATATGTGGTTGAAATTAATTGTTGATTTAATGATGCCTTATTACCAAAACAATGGAATTGAGCTGATTTTTCATGATGGGGCGCAAAGCTTGACAACAAAATTTAAATCTAGTTTCTGCCTATTAGGGCTCTCGCTGGAGCAAGAATCAAAGCAGTAACCATTGATGATTCTGCTTCTTGATGCATTTGCATTGGTCCCTTTACCTATATTGCAAATAAAGTCATGCATATGTATTTGTTGCATTTCAAGATTGTAATTTCTTTCAAGTTTATAAGTTAGTCCCTTTAATGTATAAGTTAGTCCCTTTATAACCACAAACTTTCTAAAAGTCTTAATCTATCCTAAAAATTGTAGGGATAGAATTTTTGTGATAGAAATAGTGATCTATCACTTTTGTTCAGAAATTAAGGGCTTGTTCGATAGTGATTTTGAGAATTGATTTTTTTACCGTTAGTAGAAAATTGGAGGCCATCTGTGAGAGAATAAGTAACAAATTACGGTTGAAATAGTAAAATAACGATCAAAAAATCAATTTTTTTAGGTGAAATATCCCTCCCAAATGGTCCTAAACTTTGAAATATCATTAAATGTCAGCTCAATACATATTGTGGTGGGGGTAGCATTTCAAGTAAAATTTTAGATATACTTCCGTATAGTAATCAAATGATACTTTTAAGAGGACATCTTTGTGCATAAATTTGTAAATGTTTAAGAACATCATCAATAGGATGGGGGATCAAGCTCTATTATTGAAAGATTGACCAATGATAGCAACCGTACTTAGCTATACAAAGCATGTATACTTTTGGTTCAAAGGATAAAAATAAGTTATTCAATAAGTGGATAGTTTATAGTACTTTATTTAGCCCTTGTTTGAGCCCCATTATTAGGGGAAATGTATTTTGGATTTTTTATTATTTTATTATTATTATTATTATTATTATTATTATTATTATTATTATATATATATATATTTTTTTTTTGGGAGAATGTGTGGTTGAAAATGAGTTTTGAAAAAATAAATTTTTGATAAAATGGGGATCAAGCAAGGGCTCAATATGTCCTATCGTAGATAATTAAGTGTTGGTTGTTGTGGTCAAAAGTTGAGTTTATTATACTCTTAATGAAAGTTGACTACAAGTATATCAAATGTAATAAAGATACTAGAAGAACTTCAACTATATGAATGTGGTGCCGCCTTAAAAGAAAGTTAAATTTTGTTTATGAAAACTTTGTGAAATGGGATAAGCGCAAGGCCAGAAAATACATTAAGCAAAAAATGTGTGAAACAGTAGATCATTTGTCTATTTGTGAAAGTGGTGTCACCAGTAGTGTCATAAAGAATAACTAGTTAAAACTTATAAGCTTCTAGCTAAATGGGATTTTGACGATGCTTTGTGATGTTAACTAAGGTAATGTTCAAATTAAAAATATACATGACTGTATTCATAAATACTGTTTAATTCTGAAATTATTTTTAATTAAACAAGTGTGATTGTTGGAAATTTGTTTGAATAAAAAGTGAGATTGAACATTTGAATGGCTCATCTAATAATTTACAAACCTGACAGGAAGTTTATAATCGTGAAATGCAATAAATAAGCATGCATGGCTTAATCTGCGATTTTGAAAAAGGGACCAATGAAAATATGGTGAGAAGCAGAACCATTAAATGGTTCATCTTTTAGCTAGAGAAACTTAACCTCATGGTTTTAGAACATGCATCTAACTCCCTCGCGGTTATGGACTAATATGCAACTTGTAAGATTTTTGTCCAACAAGATGGTGGAGCTAAAAAGACCTAATTTATAAATAGTTGCGGGTGTCACCAAAAGAGTTCTCTTTTCTTCCTCCTTCTATCCCATCCCCTTCTAGTTGGTCTCTGTCCCCCCTTTGATGACACACCAACCACCATCTTAAAGACACACTGATGTGACTGCAATCCAGTACCAGCTCCTGAGCACCAAACTAGGTATCTGAATATAATCCCTCTTTGTGAATCGCACACTGTCATGATGTGCAAGTGGAGAGAAATACTGACAGCAGCATTCTAGTCCAAAAAGCTACAGGATTTATGCATCCAAACTACGACAACTGTCTAACTGAGAGACCACAGGCTATTAAGGCATGAAAAAGGCAGGTTCTGTTAATTTTATATTTTGTTCCGACTTATGCAGTCAGTGGCATTAATTGTAGGCCAAGAAAAAAAATCTAGATCCAACAGGAAACTATGAGATTGCAAGTTGGGTTAATTAAGTCCTTCTAGGAAACATTCTAGTTCTTTCTGCCCCTTTGATTCGACTGAGTGGTTTTTAATCCTTATCTCAGGTGATAGATAATTCATTTCCTCTCACAACCGTCAAGGAAAGGACAATAAGGAGATGTTGATTTACCTGTTATTTTACCCTCAGTAATTGATGACTTTAGTGTATTTGTATCTATTTTGGCGTATGTTTGGCAAGTGTAAGTCAAATCACTTTTTATCCACATATTTCATGGAGACCACAAGTACTACTTATTTATCTGCCACTCATTTCAATCTGTTTATGAACATAATCATTCGTAAAAACTTGTCAAACATATGCTTAATGTTGATCTTCAATTCTTACTCCAATCTTGTCCAAAATTATGACTGGAAATTGCATCAGGACCAGTTGGCTGCCTTCCTGTCTTCTGGGCTCTCTTCCCTTGCTACGAAACAAGAGAGAATGAATTATGCTTCTTGAAACTAACTTTAACCAAGTGCAAAGCTATTTGGATTTGAAGCGCTACGCTTAAAAAAATGTTATGGTAATCTTTGTTCACATATATGTTTAGATGACTTTTTTTCTTACCATTTATCAAATGGTTATTTATCTTGAAAATTCTTTCCTCCTATCAAAATAAGTAACTAATTTCTATCTTTGACCAATAGAAAAAATTATTGATTTTAAAACTAGCTTAATACTTGTAATTGAACTCTCTTAGCTTTGCCGAACATGTTCTTTCTGATCCCTATTTGTTTCCCATGAATATGCTACAACACTGTAACTTCCATTTGTTACACTTCTTTTGTTTACCTATTTACATAAATTGAAACATGGGTAAGAGTTATCTCATGTTTGCATTGCAGCAGCTTCAAAGCATGTTTATGCCTAATCTATTTCATTGTGTTACATGATTATTGTTGCATGTTGAACATATTCCCCTGGCCCAAAAAAAAAAAATAAAAAAATGAAGAAGAAAAGGAAAATTAATTATCCCAAAGCAATGCAATTTAAATCTTTCTTATGACTTTTTCATTGTGACAGGTTGCTCGTAACCTGGGGAAAACTTTACGGGCATTCCAACCTACAATTAGAGAACTTCAGGTGGCTCTTTGTGACTTCTTAGGTTCCAGTGCACAGGCTGTTCCTGTAGTTTCTGCAATGAGTTTAAATATGTTAAAAGCACCTGATTTTTCTTCGTAGGATGTTTCAAGAGAATTTAAAAGCACACTTGAACGAGAAATTGGTCTAGATGAAATTGAAAATCCAGTGAAAAAGAGTCCATCGAAGGCCAACTCCAAAGACCCAGAATTGAACGTCGACCCAAGTGAGTATATCGTTGTCGCCTTACTGTTCAGATTACATCTACTTAAGTTGTGCTCATAGCTTTTAATTAATTCATCATCCATTGATTTTTTTAAATATCGTGAATTCACAGAGTATGAAGAAAACATTTTAGATCTAGTTTACTCGGAAAAACACAAACATTATCCAGTGATGGTTTTGGATATCTATAGATGTATCTTGGAAATTTGAGTCCCTGGATCGTATAGATTTAAGTTCCCTGCTTCATATACTGCAGAAAAATGAAATATTAAGCTGGTGTCTACCTTATTATGGAGAAAAATGTGGGCATTTATTGCTGTTTTGGTAAGCTGGACAGTATTTGACTGTACTAAAGATGAAAATGAAATTAAAATCTTGTCTATCATACTGTTCATTCAATCCGGCTCAATATTGCATACAAAACATTCACTTCTCAGACATAGTTTGACAAAGCAAGTTTCATGCCAAATTTTCCAAATATTATTTTATGCATGGCGGTTCAAAATAATGACCCCCCTTTGCTTTTAAATCCCCATTCAGATTCTTTTCCCACGCTACATGTATTGTGGGTCGAGGGGAAAGAAGGGGGGGGGGGGGGGGTAATGGAAGAGAAAGGAACAGGGAGTTTATGAAATTTTTTGTCTGGATAAAAAAAAAAGAGCTTGATGGATTTCATTGTTTTTCTTCTGAAATATCAGATGGTTCTCCAGCCCAACCCGAGGATCCCTTAGCAGTGCATCTGAGAAATACTCTTGCTCAGCTGCAGAAAGAGCAAGAACAGGCTGAGTCCCAAGGTCGGTAAATTATTATCACTTATAACACACACTCTCTCTCACTCTCCCTCTCGTTCACTTTGGTACAACTTTTTTCAGATACTGCACAAGAAGTTGCTTTAGAAATGCCTCCAACTGAAAATCCGGAAAGCAATGTGGTCGAAGAAGCTTCATCGGCAGTGGACCCCCCACCAAATCCCGAGAATAATGCTGTTCAAGAAGTTACGCCAGCCATGGCTACCCAATCGAAGCCCGAAATCAATGAACTTCAAGAAGTTGTTTCAACGGGGGCTTCTCCTTCAAAGCCCGAAAACGAGTCATGAAAGTTCCTAACAAAATTTTCCTGAAGAGAAGAGTGAACCTAGTACTCGTCCATTTTCCATTTATCTTATATTTTGTGATAGTCCTTCGGATTTCTGTCCAGGTTGAGTTCCAGTTTGTTCTTTAAAAATATAATTAGAGTAAAATTACTCGTCCAATGACCATTTTGCTAGTTTCCGTTGAATTAACTATATAAAGCTCTTATTCGGGCTGTTACAAATTATGGTATATTTGGCAAGGAAGATTTGGTAGAAGAAGGTAAAATTTGAATAATTATATATTATTCAGCTGTGTCTAGTAATACGTATGATTGTATGCCATGATTGTGTTATATTTGAATAAAGTCACATGTACAATATTTATGCACAACTTGGTTGACAATAAGTGTGTTGAAAAAAACCTGATCATTGATTTTAAAAACAGTTTTTCAAATAAATGAATGTAATGTTTGCTAACTTATGCATTGTAAATCAAGTTGTAAAATAAATTGTACAAGTAGCATAATTGGTTGATTGATTGATTGTATTTCTGGGTACAGCATCGATGTCATCTTGCTCTTTCTCTTCTTTCCCTTCATTTCTTGAGCACCAGTGACAGATTATTACTTTTTGGTTGTTGATAAATACAAATGTGAATATTTACTCTTTTGAATCTTAAATTCTTTACTTTCTTTATAAATTTTCATTTTTCCCTATAGAAATACGTCAAATGAGTCTTCACATTACTTGCCTTTTGGGAATTACACGTTTAATCTATTCATTTTTAGAACTCTTTATGGTTGTGCCCTAATTAAGAACTTGTAAAATAAATAAGCCTGCACAAAATTTCAAAAAACTTGTTAATAGTAGTATATGTGCAGGCAACAACACTGGTTCTACGATGTAAAAATCGTAACATCGTTTGAGTACCTCTCTCTCTCTCTCTCTCTCTCTCTCTCTCTCTCTCTTATCATGTTCAGGCCGGCTCACAGAAACTGAAATTTGTATGCTTTGGTTTTGGAATTTGCGTCGAAGGCTCATCTTTCTTACTTAAGATATGAAATCGATTTCATTAACTTTCCCGATTCATTCGTGAATCAGCAGTGTTATATTTGTACAAAATTGAAACTTCAAAAATGTATTAAAATGGTTTTGGTTGTGCCAGTTATGTCATTTTTTTGCCCAATCAAATATGGATTTATTTCCCTTGTCAACACTTTTTTGGTCGGGTCTGTCGCATAGGTTTGCATAGTGCAATTTATCTGGTTGGCGTAGTTTGTAAGTCATTACGTAAGCCTGAGAATTTATCCAATGTTCAATCAAAGGATAGTGACTGCGTCTTCTCCGTCATTGAAAGAAAAAAAAAAAAAATATGGACTCTCTCCGCTCCATCTAGTTCGCGCCTCTCTCTCTACAGTTCGCGTTTTCTCGTCTCTACAATGCTTTCTCGCTTCATCTCCAAATCTTCACACTTCCAGCGTTTTCGATCCCTAATTTCATCACAAGCCCACATCTTAAGTACGAAACCCATATCACCTAAACCCTCGTTTCCAGTTTTCACCTTCCGTTTATCCTCCCAAACCCTCAATGTTTCTTTTTTCTCCACAAATAGAAATGGCAATGGAAACTTTGGTGACAATTCAGCAACCTCAACTTCACATTTGTGGGAGCTAAACTCAGAAATTGATCAAGATATTGACTCTGTGTTTTCTGTAGAGTCTGGAACTTTAGAGGGCATCCATGATCAAAATGCTGACGATAGGATAGATGGTATGTTTAAAGGGGTTGAAGAAAAGGGCGGAAATGAAGGGGAGAGTGATATATTTAGAAGGGCGGAGGAGAAGATTGATGGTGGAGGCCAGGTCTGGAACACCGCGGAGGAGAATGAGCCGTGGAGTTTCGCTGCTGAGGGAAATGATGGTGAAGATGAGGATGTATTTGGTGTTGGAGAGGAGAAAGGAGAAATGGGGTTGAGTGGCTTAGAAGGTGTCAGGGAGGTGAGTGTCGGAAGTGAAAGAGCGCCGAGAAGAAGCAGATCGAAGTTGAAGAGAAGGCTCTCACTGCTCAGGGCCGTACGTGTGTTTCGTGAGGCTGAGGCGAATTTTAGAATTTGAGCTCCTAAATCATAGCAAACAGAGTTTTTTTTTTTTTTTTTAATTTATAAGAGTTTTATGAAATTAAATTTCTTAAGTTAAAATCAGCAATAAAACAACAAATAAAATAAATATACAAAATATTTATATTATAATGTTTTAAACGATAACTTTAATACAACTCGTCTTGCGATTTTAGAGACAAAAAATAAATCAATTTTGAATAGTCAAATTGTCCAACCATAAGGCAAATTCATAAGAATGACAACATAAATTAATACATAATAATTAATTAATCAATTGATAGTCAATATTCATGAAGCCCTCATAAGTCATAAGTCAAAGGCAATTGAATCCATATATACCATCATCGAGTTATAGAAAACACTCAAAGAAAACCATAATAAAATTTCTTGAACCCATGCCTCCTATTTTATGTGATTGGGTTGAAACTATACGAGTTTTGTGGAGATGTTTGCATATCTTACATTGAAAAGTCAATCTAATATTGCATCAATATCAAAGAAAAATAGCAACCAAAATGTGTGCAGCATGTTCAGAAAGTAGGTGAAAATTTTGATCCAAAGAAAGGGATATAGAGTACACTTAAATTGGCACACAATGAAATGAGTATTTCTAATCCAAAACTTGCAGTACCACCAAAACCACCACATTCACACTTGGCATCAAAATAGAGACCAAATAATAGAGCAATGCAAAAATTCCAATGAAGCAAAGTAAATAATCCCACAACAAACTTATTATTGAAAATATTTGTATGAGCAACAAAAAAATATATAATTTCCCAAACTCTCAAACCTCAGTGGCTTTTTGTTTCTTACATAATCATAAAATATAAAGTTTTCCGAATGTGAAATAAAAAGAAAAAGAAAAAATAAATAATGCAGGCACACAAATGCAAAATCAATAAAAATCCATGAAAAAGCTTTATTATATAAAAATCGGTTAATTTAAAAACTATGGCGTTTATAAAAGTCATTAGAAACTAATAAAAATCTAGACATACATAAAACAATTAATTTTTGTTGCAAATCATATATAAAACAAATATAAATAAAATAGAATGGGCAAATCAATCAAAAAAAAAAATAAAAAATTCAAGCAATTTAACTTCAAATGTAAACAGTATTGTTACCGAGATTCATGATATAATAGTTGAAGAAGCCTTTTTTTGTATGGAGCAAGAGTGAATTAGTATAAACGGGTTGGATTTTAGAGAAGTTAAGAATTTAGGAGGAGGCTTAGGTTTTTATTTAGTGGGACAATTATTGGACGTTTTGAATGTTATTAGTGGGATTTAAGGATAAAAAAAAAAAGAAAAATCCAAAAAAATAAATCATTTTTTTGGGCCCTCTAAAGATGTGGGCCTGAGGCGATGGCCTCTTGGGCCTCTCTCCTCAGGTCCGGCTATGTCACTGCTGTACTCAAAGGCAAGATTACTTTCCTTTTTAATTTGTTATTCGTACAATTCCAATATATTTGTGTCTTAACGATAATTCAGTTTGATGGCATTGCCTGTTAAGTTATATTCAGATGTTGAATCGTTGGACTTGTTTGTTGGGTTTAATACAGAATTTAGGGGGTTTTGGTTTGATTTAAGTGCAAAATTATGTTCTTTTTGAAGTTTATATGCATGAACATATATTCCTTTGGTTTCAGGAAATTTTTGAAATGGGATAAGTGAGAGGGATAGTATTTGAGTTTATAGTTTGATGATTGTTTCTTTATTGTTTATAATGGCTTTACTATGTTGATGTTCTATGTCTGAAAGATATGTAAGCTTATTCATGTATCTGATATTTCTGGTTGCTTATTGAGAATTAATAGTATGCTTTGGCTAGTAGGATTCAAGACTAGTCATGACTAGGAAATAAAACTGTATGTATCTTTAATTTGGTGGATTTTCACATCTGTAGACCTTTTTTCTAACATCCGATGTTAGTATTGCTGCTGTGTTTCAAAACAACATCCTGCCCGGAGCTTTTAATTGTTGGTTCATGCCCACTAGTTCTTTCCACTGTAGTGATATTGACATACCAAACATTTTCACTATTTTATTGTTTATTGTTAGTCACAAATGAAAATCACAATTATGAATAACTTAAAGGTCAAGAGCTGATGTTGCTTTGGAATAATTCATGTCGCTATCTTGATTTTTCAGCTGAATGGCCATTATCATCTTGCCATTATATATACCATATAGCTTTTTATTCTTTTGATTCAACTCCTAAATTAAAACTAAGGATTTGCAATTACCACATATTTTGGGTCTGGCTCATCATATTTCTTCAGGATCCACTTAGTTCCTGTTATGCTCAAGCTTTTGAAGATGGGTAATAGTTGTCTAGGTCCTAAAAATACAACATCTGGATACATGCATTACTAAAACTCTATGAGAAGTTTCTTTATAATTCTACTCCTTTTATTCCCATCTCATTTGCATTTTTATGCAGAATGTTTCTCCGTAGAACTCCATTAGAAGTTTCTTTCGTAATTCTACTACTCAGACATCCTATGATTGTGGCCATTACACGTGAAGGTTCTCACTGAGTGGGATATAGTTTTCCATGTGTGTGGTGGTTGGGTGAAGGGGCAAAGTTTTAACAATTTTCTCATACAGATCATCTATATAGAATAGTATTTGAAGATAAATTTATCATTGCATCACTTCTTTCAGGTCCAAATCGTGCATTTGGGGATCTTATAGCAGCATCTGGAATCACAGATGCAATGTTAGATAATATGATTGCTTTGAAAGACTTTGAAGGCATTCAAGGACTGCCCCCTCTAAGGGATATTGAAGATCAGTGTTACGAAAAGAACACCAGAAAATCCGGTAGAGCTGAAATAGAGCGCCAGAAACAGGAGGAAGTTGCCAATTCACGTGTTAGACAAGTAGACAATACTCAATAAGGGAAGGGCTTATGGAACAGGAAGGAGGAAATGCAGCATAGCCCGTGTCTGGATTCAACCTGGTGAGGGTAAATTTGTAGTAAATGACAAAGAGTTTGACGTGTATTTCCGGATGCTTGATCACCGTGCTGCTCTTCTTTGGCCTTTCTCTGAAACTAAAACTTTGGGTATTTGGGATGTCAATTGTACTGTTAAAGGAGGTGGCGTATCAGGTGAGCATTGATTTCGTATACATATCGTTGTTGCGTATTCAGTTTGACTGTTGAATTATAGTATTTTCCATGTAGTCTGGGATTTGATTGGGTCTAGGCTAGACCAGGAGAAAGTAAATACAAGTGGGATCATTGTGCTAGACATGTTAAAACCGTTGTTGATCTAGTAGCCATCCAGTGTAATTCTTCCATGCAGTCCTGATTTGAAAAATTACCCTACCATCCATTAAGTTAGAGAGCTATACTGTGGACTCAATGGGCTCATGAAATCAAACCTCCAATGGTCGAAACTTAGTTCTAAATCATTAGTTTTTGGTATTTCATTCAGATTGGAAAATGCAGTCTTGAATTATAACCAAACTAGTAAGCTCTAAACCCAATTTTAGTTGGAAACTCATTCACTTATATTCAGTTATGAATCTTGATTGTATGCTTCTTGTACTGTACATTATTATGTGGTAATAAAAGTCTGCATTTTCAACAGGTCAAGTTGGTTCCATCCGTTTGGGCATCAGCAGGGCATTGCAAAACTGGGAACCAGGCTTGCGTCCTCCTCTCAGAGATGGTATGACTTGTCGGATCATATACTTATTTTTTCTCAATTTTTTGTAAGCCAATGAAATATCTTTCTTTCCAAGATCCGGTTTTGTAGGAAATGCATGCATTATTAATATTTCCAAATTTTCGCTATCACCCTTAAAGATAGTGTCCAAAACAAGTTCCAGTCTTAACATATCGATCTCATTCTCGATCATGATAGTTTGACACTTCTTAATCCAGTATATCATTTTCTTTCAGCTGGTTTTCTCACGAGGGATCCAAGAGTCGTGGAAAGGAAAAAGCCCGGTAAAGCCAAAGCAAGAAAGAGCTTCCAATGGGTCAAGCGTTAATGAGGGTCATGCATTCTTATTCTGATGCTCTCAGCTATCCATGGACACAAATGTTTTGCTTCCTCGCAATTAATTGTCGATATCTCTTCAGGTGATCCGGCGTCAATAGCATAACCAAAAGTGAAGCGAAAAGTTGCTCAACATGCGGCATGGCATGAAACATTTATTTATTTTTTTTTTTTTTTTAAGACTTGGAATATGATCATATCAGTTTCTTCTTCTTCTTGGTTCTCTCTCTCTCACATGGAATATTACATTTTTCACTGACATATTGTCTTGGACTATTCTCAATTTTCTTAGATTTTATAATTGCGCTTTCATGCGCATACATCATTGTGGAGATAGAGAAGTGACTTGTACTAATGAAATAAATGCTTGGAAAGCTAGTGTTAGGGTCTTTATATTAAAACTTTTAATTGGCTGTGCTGCTTGTTTCAGCACACGGAGTAGAATAGATAAGATTTTAATTTTAATTTTTTTTTACTGTTGTATGATCTATCAAACCGAACAAGGTCATTCTGCAAGGTCTTTATTATGTGAGCGGGAACTGAAATTGGTCAGCCAATGATTGTAATACTCCAAAAAAAATAAAAATAAAAATAAACCTGTGAATTTGTTGTTCATATTCTTGTAATTATTAGTGTCGGAAAGGAGGATACTATGAACTCAATTTATCCCAGTTTTCTCTATAAAATCGTCGATCAAAGTTTATTCTTATAATATAAGATGCTAATCTACTTGTTCAGTAATCGGGTTCAAACGTTAAAGATCTCAGCTCTAAACTTTTTGAAGGTCAAACGAAACATTTGCAGTAATGAATTTTTTTCGACTATGGACGAAAGAAAATGAGGAATACGATGGACATAACTTTTCACCACTCGAGACGACATTTGATGCTAGTGTATGGGTCAACCTGTTTACATTGTGGGAAACAAAGTTAACAACCAACATAAACGAACAAATATTAGAGGACAACTGCACAAGG